AAGGAGACATCATTTAGGGTAAGTGCTGACATTAACAGGGGGGGGGGGGAGGGGAAAAAATGTATCCATTAATTCTACTTTAAGGACCTTAAGCCCAAAGTTGGCATCAGATGAGACTGCGGAACAGTGTACGAGGATGATGGTTTGGAAATCTGGAAACCAGTCACTTGATGCTGAAGTGCCTAAGAAGAATTCACAGATCTAATATATCACCTTGTGTGGGAGAATAGAGAGGAATGTCTCTGTAGGGTTCAATTGGAGGTCTCTGAAGCACAGAGTACCAGAAGCAGATGCAGGGAAGTCGGCCAAAGGTCTTAAGGTTTGAGAGGCCAACGGTCTCTGAAACAAAATAGACACAACAGAAACTAGGGACGCACTGATTTAATTTTTTTCACAACGAGTAAGTGTACCGATATTTCCTCAAGTACTCACCAATACCCTGGTAGTTCTGCCACTGACTCAAAGCTGTAGAGGGACTACAAATCCCAGCAGTACATTATACAGAATGGCACTGCCTATAGACTACAAATCCCAGCAATGCATTATGAATGTATATGTACTCTATTGCTGAGGGTATTATTATAATACCCTCAGCTATAGATAACTACAAATTGCAGCAATACATATACAGCAGTGCAGAATAATATGTTGCTACAAACTCTGTACTGCTCCAGGGTGCCAACCAGATGTCTCTAGTGGAGGGGTGTGAAGAGTCTCAGCAGGGGATGATGTGTGAGCGGTAAGCAGTACCGCGTGGTTCCCCAGAAGGCTGCCGATCTGTGCATCCCTAGGAGAAACCTTACCTTTGATCTCCAAACGATGGTCCAAATCCAGATGTAGGAAGGTGAGGATTCATCCCCTCCTAGAGTAAAAGCCCCAAGACCACCCACAACAAGTGAAGTATGCCTTCCATGTCCATCAGCTGCTAATGCTGCAGCAAGACTTCTGGTTCCTTTTGGATGGTTGATGTACACCACTGCCATATTGGATGACCCTCCAGTAGGATGGTCATGCAGGCATGCATCCTTAATGTCCACAGAAGCTAGAAATCTTCCTGGTGAAGGGGAACTCTCCTATAGAGGTAGGATACTCGGGTGGAGAGTGTTGGTGAAAGTTATTTTAGAAGGGGTGGGGATTCAAGGAGCTGAGCTTGAAAGCACATTTGTCCTTTATGTACATATTATATTATAGCCTCTTTTGAAGTGTCATTTTTAACATGGTATCTGTTCTGTAATGCCTGCCTTCTGTGTTTTATAGAGGAATCCTGCAACCCAGTGATATCAAGGATTCTGCCCTGCTTGTTCCTTTAATGTTAAGCCATGAAGAGGTTACAGTGAAAGCACGGGAGGCAGGATATATATAAATCTAGGGTTTGCCTTCAAAACCCTGCTGCCAGTTATAATCAGGTGACGGACTTTATTACCTAAATTATTTTAAGAACTTTTTTGTTATGAGCACTGTGACAGAAGGTATCGAAATACTCCTCCTTTGAGTGATGACTTCAAACACTATATATTGACCTCAGGCCTATTTCCACATCTAGAATTTACAACATGGCTATCAGGCAATGATTGACAGCCCTGACCACTTATCTGCTGAAACAGGAGGGCCGTAAATACAGTACTCAAGCCCCCTGTGTTAGGGATGCTCCTGTGCAGTTAGGAAAATACTGGATTAGTACTCAAAGTAGCTCATGCCTGTCTGGCCTTTACTAAATGTTTTCCCCACTAAACATTAATCTCTTGATTCTTTAAGTATATTCCTTTTAAACTGAGTAAAGAAGTTCATACACATTCAGGATAAGTTATACCATTTTTTTATTTTTTTTTAACTTTATGTAAACAATATAGTCCAAAATTCTATCATGCAAAAATATGCCTGTAGGCAGAACAGTTCCTTTTGTGTAGAGAAAGTAGTTATACTCTCTCCACACTGCAAGTGCACTGACACTTAAAGGGGGGAAGGCCACTTTTGTTTCATACACTTAACTAAGGCCCAGTGTATTCTATGTAAGCAAATTTAAAGCATACCTGTCCTCTTAAAGCTGAACTTCAGCCTTGTATATTTCCTATTTACAGTAAACCTACTTTTTAAAACACTAGTCAAGAGAAAAAAAAAAGCCTTTTTTTTTTTTACATCTTTTTGTCTAGAGATTTCATAGATATTTAAACATTTTTGCAAGACAATATTGCCAAAAAGTCCTCCAAAAAACTGTGCCAGTCTCCAGTCCTGGGTACGCTCGCTTACTAAGGGTTGAACCCCTTCCACTTTTCCAGGCCAATACAAGCCCATGCAGAGTACTACTGTCTAGTGAGAGTCCACCAGCAGCTAATATAATACTGGACCATGGCTGATTTGGGCTCAGTTCTGAGAGAAGACTTAGCACTGAAATTGGAGAAGTCAAAATCCCTGTTCAGATCTGTGCACTGTGGCAATGTGCGCGAAGACATACATTCTCGTGCGTGCTGCAGCAGCACGCCAAGACATGTGTCATTTTGTTAGGTGTATGCGGTAACATTCATTGGTAGTGGCACCCTAACACACCTCGTGCCTTCAGGTGCAGGAAATTGCAACAAATGGTAAAGTACCAGGGAGGCCATTTATCTAAACTGGAGCAGCTGCCCATAGTAACCAATCAGCTTCTCTCTTGAGTTTGTTCAGTGAGGCTTTGAAAGATGGAAGCTGGTTACTATGGGAAACTGCTTTAGATTCTGTCTGGTCCAGTTTTAATAAATACCCCCCATGTGTTTTGGGGGGGGGGGGGG